GTAAAGAGATTTGGGATACAGGAGCTGGTCTTGTTGCTGCTGTTTTAATCGCTATTTGCCCCGGATACATTTCTCGGTCTGTAGCCGGGTCGTATGATAACGAAGCTGTCGCGATTTTCGCTCTTTTGTTGACGTTTTATCTGTTTGTTAAAGCGGTTAACACTGGTTCATTGGCTTGGGCTCTTGGCTCTGCGTTTGGTTACTTTTATATGGTTTCTGCTTGGGGAGGATATGTGTTTATTATCAACTTGGTTCCGCTTTATGTGTTGGTGTTGTTGATCACTGGAAGGTATTCGATGAGGCTTTACATTGCTTATAACTGTATGTATATCTTGGGGATGTTGCTCGCGATGCAAATTCGGTTTGTTGGGTTTCAACATGTTCAATCTGGTGAGCATATGGGTGCAATGGGCGTCTTCTTATTGATGCAGGTGTTTTACTTCTTGGACTGGGTGAAGTACCAGCTCAATGACACCAAGTTGTTCCAAACCTTTTTGAGGATAACTGTGACATCGGCTATTTTGGTTGGTGGTATTGCTTTGGGTGTTGGAACAGCGTCTGGCTATATATCTCCATGGACTGGTCGATTTTACTCGTTGCTTGACCCGACTTATGCAAAGGATCATATTCCCATTATTGCATCTGTTTCTGAGCATCAGCCTACGGCTTGGTCGTCTTTCATGTTTGACTACCATATTCTGCTCTTTCTTTTCCCTGCGGGTCTTTACTTCTGTTTCAAGCGTTTGACGGATGCTACGATATTTATTGTCATGTATGGTCTCACTAGCTTGTACTTTGCTGGTGTCATGGTTCGGCTTATTCTCGTCGCCACTCCAGCAGTTTGTCTTATCAGTGCCATAGCTGTCTCTGCCACTGTCAAGAATTTAACTTCTCTGTTAAGGACAAAACAAAAGGTTTCTCAGACTGGTTCCACGAAAGGAGCTGGTAGTTCAAAAGCCTCTTCAAAGGTGAATCTTTAGTTTCCATTTTTTTATCTGCTTTGGTTTAAACTATTGTACCACTTGCCACCTACTTTGAACTCCTGTGTCCTAGCAGGTTACACTTGATCAGTCTCAGCCTTTCCAGAAGAATGGTGCCATTGCTCTTCTTCTTGGTGTATTTTATTTGCTGAGTAGATATGCCATTCACTGCACATGGGTGACATCAGAGGCATATTCATCTCCCTCAATTGTCTTAGCTGCAAGAGGAGCCCATGGGAACAGAATCATCTTTGATGATTACCGCGAGGCCTACTACTGGCTTAGGCAAAACACTCCCACTGATGCTAAGATCATGTCGTGGTGGGACTATGGGTACCAAATCACTGCCATGGGAAACAGAACTGTCATTGTCGATAACAATACCTGGAACAACACACATATTGCTACCGTTGGACGTGCCATGTCTTCTTATGAAGATGAGGCGTATGACATTATGAGGTCACTTGATGTGAACTATGTATTGGTCGTCTTTGGTGGTGTTACTGGTTATTCTTCAGATGATATCAACAAGTAAGTCTTTTAACTTCTCTCGTGTATGCTCCTCTTCTCGTTTATTACTGAATTTCTGGTTATTGTTGCGTGTCAACCAAATACGGCATTAATTGGTGGCTTGTTAGATATATACGTTTGTTTTTTCTTTTGGAAAATTTTGTTTGTCTGGCTACTTCTCAGTTATACAACAAGTGTGGGGTTTGTAGTAATTGGTTTGAACTAGTAGTGAACAAAAAAATGACATGGGCTAGTCATAAGTGGGTGGATTGTACTGTTGACTTGTAGCGATTGGTTTGAGTCGTCCACTGAGATTTAGTTGTTATTACATATATCTCCATAATACCAATGATGATATACTTCTGGCGTGTTAATATCTTTAATGGTCTTCCAGTTCTTAGTGATTCTAAGGAGACTCTTTTGATTCAGTTGATTTGTGGAGTTATTGATCATCTTTAATAATATAAAAATTGTGGGTTAGGTTCTTGTGGATGGTGAGAATTGGAGGCGGAGTATTCCCAGTGATCAAGGAACCTGATTACCTTGTGAATGGTGAATTCCGTGTAGATAAGGGTGCATCACCAAAAATGCTGAACTGTCTTATGTAAGTTAACACTCAAGACTCTACTTTTAGCATGTATAATGTAAATTTGAAAACGATGCAATTCATCTTAATTGTTGTTTTCGTGTATAGGTACAAGTTATGCTATTACAGGTTCGGTGAGCTGACCACAGAATACGGCAAGCCACCCGGGTATGTTAAACACCTATTTGCGTTTTGCATTTTGAAGATAGTTTAGTCCATCATAAACGCAGTTACTTTACATATGAAAAAAAGTTGAGCGGTGGAATTATTGGCAGGTATGATAGAGCAAGAGGAGTGGAGATAGGGAACAAAGATATCAAACTTGAACACTTAGAAGAAGCTTACACAACATCCAACTGGATAGTTCGCATTTACAGAGTCAAACCTCCTACGAACAGGTTGTGACGCTTCAATGTTATGAAAATGGCTTTAGATAGTTGATAGGTTTGAGGAACCATACAATTTCGGATTTTCTTGGACTTTGTTTGATTTTTTATGCAGAGACAAGTTTTGTAGTTTTTCCATCGTTTAAGTTGAGACCTATTTGCATTGGTTTGTTCGTATACTTTTAAAACAGGTTATGTAATTTAATCTTGGTTTGATCAAGCTCAAAGTAAACATAAATTTTGAAAATTAGAGATAAAAGAAACATTAATCATATTAAAATCAATGAGTAAATATAATATGGTAAATGAAATCCTAACATGACCTTAACTTAATAAAAGAAGACTATCAATCCATCAGTTTATTTTTGGAACCATAATGTTATTTCTGGTAAGCTACCAAAATCTATGGTAGGAGTTCCATAGATTTGATTATAGTAGTGGGAGTGGAAAACCATAGTGGAGGCCGACAGGAGGAGCATGTGGGTATATTGTTGGACGAAATGGTTGTGGTACCATGAAATTAGGCATAGACATTGGAGGGCAACTGTTTGACATTCTTGATCCGCACATAAAATACGATTGAAAGTTGTATACTCTTAATGGAGGTTATAGAGATAACATGTTGTTGGGCCGACCGCTTGACTGAAGATAGTATATTGGCGAGGACTTGGTGTTATGGTTGACGAAACAATGTCCTGCGAAAGGTTATTAAATTGAGTTTGTAAATGAAGCTTACGTTCCTCTTTACATTGTGTCAAAAAGACATAGATAGATTTCTTTCCCATCACCTTCTCATTCATCTTGAGCAGTTGTCTAAAAAAAAACTAATTACATGGTTTACAAACTTACAGCTTTGGAAGCATCTTCACTCATTGAGAACTCAACTAACCCACTACCTTTGCTAATATGATTATAATGGGCCATGACCTTAAAAATTCATAAGTTAAATTTGATTATTCGTCGTAGTCACAAATCAAGGTATTCTTTTGCTAATAGGATTACATGCGTGCCTTGCAAGAACTGATGATTCCAAACTCACAGAATAATTCTTGAAGCTTTTTGTTATCAATAAAATCATCAAGATTCATCCTTTACGTGTTCTCACATCCCGTTTTATCTTTTCAAGTTTATATTTGGCTTTCAAATCCTCAATTCTATTATTTTCCCACCAAGTCCTCCTAATACGCAACTATTTTTCATCAACTATTGTCTCGTTCAGAGTCGAGCCAACGTATATCAAGACCCATAGCGGACTTGAAATGCAATAGTATAAAAAATGAAAAGTTAAAAACCTCACCATTTATAAAAAATAAAAAATACTAAAGCAGCAAATAAATATTTGATTTTAAAACATGTGGTCTCAAACATAATTCAAGCCGGAATATGAATGAGCGGTCACTATAATTTAGCCATTTATTTAAAATTTTGTTTGAAATTTGCACTAGATCAGAGACGACAATAAAAGCATATTTTCTTAGATGACAATCCAAAATTATACAGTAATAAAGAATATTATGACTTGGCTATTGGCCGGTTTATAAAATAGAAAAGTTTAATAAAATATGGTTATCATAATTATTTTCTCTCCTCTTCGTATTAATTTTCATCATTGCTATTCATTTTTTCATTTTTGGCTTATGTGTTTGAAGATTTACCATAATTTAAAGATTTATATGAATATCTTATTCTTCCGTTCTCTAAACAATTTTAAATCAACAAACAAGATACATAAATATACTTTTCATTAGCTTATAATTTTAAAGATCTCATAAATTCTTTTAACTAAAATTTAAAAATTCATATTCGTATCAATCAATACTTATAAAAAATTAGACTTATAAAGATGGAGTTATGGTTGTAGTTATAATATACAAAATTTATATAGATCCTTTAATTTTTGAATATATAAAATAATCATAGGCAAATATTTGTTTATTCTTCACGTAGAAGGCTGAGAGCTGGTGTTTCCTAATTCTCTTTCCTGACTGGCGTTGCTTTTTCACGAAAAGTGTATGGTTGCTTATTCGAGCAGCTAGAGAGAATCCTTTTTTTAGTCAGAGAAAATTAACATTTCTATAAATAATAAAGAAAACAAAATATTGTTACCCTGAGGTCTTGAAGTTACTAAGAATACATTTTAATTAATGATTTATGAAATAGAATTAGGTTTGAATTTTTAATTAATGTGTTATTGGAAAAATAAATAGAATTATTTTTTTACTAAGAATAAATTAATAATTTACGAAATCAAATATAAAAAGTTCCAAAAAATACTATTCAATAAAATTGAGTTTCTTATTAAAATAGAATTAGGCTTTTTAAAAAAAAAAAAAACTAAGATTAAATTAATAATTTATGAAATCAAATATAAAAAATACTAAAAATAAAATTTTATTTAACTATTACAGTATATCTTAAATATTAATTTTAATTACAATATAATCGTAACTTTTTATTTTATTTTATCCAATTTAGAAGCCAAAATAGATCTTCAAAAGCCAAACCATTATTAAGTTAAAAAAAATGTAAAAGGGTGACTACTATGTAAATAGAAAAACACATATTAATGTGACCATCCCAAAACCCTAAACTGTTTCTCTCGACGACGTGTTTTGTCGCCGTCATTGAACTCTTTTCAACCGGCGTCGACATCACTCGTTTTGTTCCCGTCATGCGAGTATCCGTCTAAACTCCGCCTCTGTTTCATGACTATCTCCGACCGAAAATCCAATCCGGCGGCGATAACCGAGGCTCTAAAATCGCTAAAGAATCCGAACTAGTGTTTCTCTGTAATCGTGTGAAGGTAGAATCTCCGAACAACTTATCATCTTCGTTTCTTCAACTTTTCTGTTCTCTGTTGTTTATCATCATAAACGCATTTACTTTACATATGAAAAAGTTGATTGGTGGAATTATTGGCAGGTATGATAGAGCAAGAGGAGTGGAGATAGGGAACAAAGATACCAAACTTGAACACTTAGTAGAAGCTTACACAACATCCAACTGGATAGTTCGCATTTACAGAGTCAAACCTCCTACGAACAGGTTGTGACGCTTCAATGTTACGAAAAATGGCTTTAGATAGTTGATAGGTTTGAGGAACCATACAATTTCGGATTTTCTTGGACTTTGTTTGATTTTTATGCAGAAACAATTTTTGTAGTTTTTCCATCGTTTAAGTTGAAACCTATTTGCATTGGTTTGTTCGTCTACTTTTAAAACAGGTTATGTAATTTAATTTTGGTTTGATCAAGCTCAAAGTAAACATGAATGTTGAAAATTAGAGACAAAAGAAACATTAACCATATTAAAACCAATAAGAATATGGTAAATGAAATCCTAACATGACTACTTGACTTAATAAAAGAAGAATATCAATCCAACAATTCGTTTTTGGAAGCATAATGCAAATTCCTATAAGCTACTAAATTCTACGGTATGTGTTCCATAGATTTGGTTGTAGTAGTGGCATTGGCAAACTATGGTAGAGGCCGACAGGAGGATCATGTGGGTATAGAATTGGACAAAATGGTTGTGGCACCATGGTATTAGGGATAGACATTGGAGGCCAAGCTTGACTGAAGATAGGGTGTTGGTGAGGACTTGGTGCTATAGTTGACGAAACAACGTTCCAGGGAAGGTTATTAAATTGAGTATGTAAATGAAGCTTATGTTCCTCTTTACATTGGGCCAAAGAAACATAGATTGGTTTATTTCCCACCACTTTCCCATTCATCTTAAGCATCTGTGTAAAAAAAACAACTAATTAGTGTGAGTTCCTTGATTAAGAAGGCAACACCAAGAAAAAACCATTACATGGTTTACAAACTTACAGCTTTAGAAGCTTCTTCGCTCGTTGAAAACTCAACAAACCCAACACCTTTGCTAATACGATTGGGATGGACCATGACCTACAAAATTCATAAGTTAAATTTGATAATTCGCCGTAGTCACAAATCAAATTATTCTTTTGCTAATAGATTGCATACGTACCTTGCAGGAAATGATAGTTCCAAACTCTGAGAACAATTCTTGAAGCTTTGTGTTATCAACAGAATAATCAAGATTCTTCACATAAAGATTCGTCCCTTTACGTGTTTTCATATCCCGTTTTATCTTTTCTAGTTTAAAAATGACTTTCAAATCTTGAATTCTATTCTTTTTCCTCTGAGCCCTCCCAACATGCAACTCCTTTTCATCAACTATTGTCCCGTTCATCTTGTCTATTGCAGTAACCGCGGCCTCAGCCTTCTCGAAGTTCACAAACCCGAACATTCTAGACTTACCTTCTTTGTCTTTCATCACCACCGCACTAGTAATCTCTCCAAACTCTTCAAAAATCATCTTCAAATCATCATCTGTCGTAGTCTCCGCCAAGTTTTTGACATAAACATTAGTGAAAACCCGAGATTCATCCCATTGACGACGGCTAACGAATGGAGAAACGTGAATATGTTGATTGCGGATGAGCGTGCCATTGCGAACATTGCATGCGATATTGACTGAAAGCTCTGAGTAAAACTGGACGAACCCATATCCTTTCGAAACTCCAGAAGCATCACGAACCACTTTGCAAGAGAGAACTTTGCCAAATGCAGAGAACATGTCGCTAAGTTGCTTGTTGTCGATAGATTCGTCTAGATTCTTGACAAACACGTTACCTCTGCCGCTCAACCTCTTGCTAGGATCACGTTCTGAAAACATTATCCTCATAGGTTTTCCCTTTAACTTGTAAAAATTCAGCATCTCCATTGCAGTCTTCGCTGTTTGTCCCCCACAATAAATAAATAAATCAAACCAACATGCAAATTCGTTTAAATCGAAACAAATACACGTTTGCCTTAATAATAACAAATTAAAAACTATTCGTGTTTTAGATTAGTGACCAATCATTGAAATTAAACTCTTTTCTCAAAGGATTAAACCCTAGAAACAAGCAACATGATTTAACAATATTTACGAACATATGGAATATTACGAGTTACCTTGGAAACTATGGTTGAAATTAACATATCCATAACCAAGAGACGAGCCGGTGTTTCGGTCGCGACAAATTTTAACAGAAGAAACATCATGAGTGATTTCATTGAATGTTGTGTATAATTCACTGTCGTCAACACTCGAATCAAGATCTCCTACATATAACGTAAGCTTTTCAAATTCGTTCTCTGAGGTTCCCATAGTTGAAAACAGGTCTTCGTGCACTGAGGAATTTTTTTAGGAGAGAGCTAAATATAAATCTGTTGTTGTATGGTCGTCCTCAAGTCATATAAAAAGTCAGTTTCTACTACGACTAAATTAATAATTTCTGAAATAAAATATAAAAAAAATATAAAGATAAGCTTTACTAACTGTCAACATTATTGGTGGTATGCTAATATTGGCTCTTAGCATTAGTTTAGTATTAAATTTGTAAAGTTAAGAGTTAAGAGTTTGGGTAAGAGTTTTAATTTTTGGCATTGTCCAATGGTAATATCTTAAGTTGGGGTTCTTAAAAAAAAATGTTTTGAAGTGATTTGGTTCTTAAAATTTTAAAATGTTTTGGTTAGAGTAATAAGTAGAGAATTCATCAAATTAGCAGGTAAAGGTTAGCTTTGACAAGCTTTGAAAACCATGTTGTTCCCACAATTTAAACTGGTAGGTTCAGTATCTGCACTACATCAACCAAAAGTACACGACTTTTATCTCCTACTCAACCAATGTCAATGATGCTAAACATTCTTCTAGGAACAATTATTAGTCTACGTGACAACAGAGAGTACTATTGAAAATTCTGAAATGAGAAGAAATAAATGTTGGACACAAAAACAGTAAATCAAAACCAATACAGATTGCTACTGAAAGATTTTGTATCTCACACCTAAGCTTATATCTCTAATTAGCCTCACATTCTTTCTTCTTTTATGTAACCATAAAATGCAATAATGGAAAAATCCTAAAGAAGAAACAATGAGAAGAGATAATCGGACAACTAGTGAAGTGCACGGATTAATCAAAACCCACATCTAAATTCAATTGAAGCTATTAAAAAAACAGAAGAAGAAATGAAATTTGAGGGAAACAAAGAAAAAAAAACTAATCGAAACACAAATCAGGATGGATTGTTCTAAATCTCGAGAATCGTCCGATTGGTTCTGGCGGAACAACGGCCGGAGGTGATAACATCGGAGACTCCTCCGATTGGATTCGATTTCGTCGTCTCCGGTTTCATTTAAGATGAAGTCGTGTAGAAGATAGAGATAGAAAGAAAAAAAGTCGCCACGTCATCGCCTCTTAAGAACAAATTTGTCTCTTAGTTAAAAGACACCTCTTAATGTTAAAGGAGTATATGCATTAAATTTAATCAGTTTTATCCTAAGATTTCCCTAAGATTTACCTAACATACTGCCTATAATGATGCTCTTACACTACATCTTAAATATTCAATTTTAACTAAAAAATAATCGTAAACTGTTTTTTATTTTATTCAAATCCAGAAATTAAGGCTTTGAATATTTACTAGTTTTTAAGTGTTTTTTTTTTGTTTTTAGATTTTGGTTTTTGGATTTTGGTTTTTAAAGTTTTGGTTTTTAGTTTTTTGCTATATATATAAAAATTAGGAAATTAAATATTTTTAAATCAAAAATGAAACATAATCTCGTCGAAAAAATAAATTTTCCACAAAAACCTCAAAATCATGGTTTTTAGTTTCTTTTAGAGAAACCACTAAAAAACAAGTTTTCTTAAATTTTAGGGAATTTAATTTTTTAAAATCTTGAATGATAAAAAAATATATTTCTCAGTAAATAAAAACTAAAAACCACTTAAAAACTAGTAACCATTCAAGGCCTAAATATATTGTCAGCAAAATCAATATTATCTTTAAAAAGATTTTTTTTAAAAATCTTTAAAATAGAAAAACAAGAAGTAAAAGGATGTTCTGTGAAATATCAATAACTATAGTGACTAATATGTAAATAGAGAAACATATGTATCTCTGACTCTATGACTAATCCCAAAACCCAACACTGTTTGCTCTTCGACGCCGCGTTTTGTCGCCGTCGTTGAACTCTTTTCAACCGGCGTCGATTCTCGTTTCGTCGCCGGCGTCGATTCTCGTTTCGACCGGCGTCGATTCTCGTTTCGTCGCCGTCATTCGTGTATCCGTCTTAAACTCCGCCGCTGATTCATGACTATCTCCGACGGAAAATCCGATCCCGGCGGCGATGACCGAGACTCTGAAATCGTTAAAGAAACCGAACTAGTGTTTCTCCGTAATCGCGTAAAGGTAAAAATCTCCGAACAACTTGTCATCTTCGCTTCTTCAACTTCTCTGTAGTCTCTTCGCTCAATGTGTGTTCCCTTCGTTGTTAAGCATTTTGTTAGTGGAACGATTCGATTACACAGTCCTTGAGGTTAAATTTGAAATTATGTTGAATAATTTTGGTGAAGTAGCATAAATTTGTTGATTGATTCATTGTTTGTTCTATATCTCTCATCAGGAGTTAGAAGTGGAAAATGCTAAGTTGTTGTCTCAGGTTTCAAGCTGCCAATGCCAACAGGTGAAGATATTCTTAACTTTTGATTGACTTCATACTAGTTCGTTCGAAATTGTCAAGAATCTCGGTGTTTATATTGTAGATGGAAGTGAAGCATGATCGGTCAGTGTCAGATTCTAGTAGCTTAGTTAGGAGAAGGAGAGTTAGAAAAGGAGATAAGAATAGTATACCGAGTCATCTTATCTCGAAGAGATATGTTGCACTAAAAATCATGTATTTTGGTAAGAGGTATGCCATATGTTTTTAGGTTACTTCTCTTCTTTATGTCATGTCATTGTTCCTAATTGTATAAATGAATAAATTTTTGTTGTTACAGATTTTACGGCTTTTCGGCTGAAGCACAAATGGAACCAAGTATTGAGGTGTGGTTGTGTTCTCTTTGTTTTGTTTGTTAAGGAATAACTAGTTTGTATTTGCATGATGAGTAATTTGTGTGTTTCCTGCAGTCAGAAGTTTTTAAAGCACTTGAAAGGACACGGCTTTTAGTTGGTGACAAGAAAGATTCTTGTTACTCGAGATGTGGAAGAACAGATAAAGGTGTTTCGTCCACAGGGCAGGTGGATTGATCTGTGCTCCCATGATTTTTTTCGCTTAGGATCTCTAGCATTTAACTTCTCAATAATTTCTTTTGATCTCACTGGTTGTCTGTAGCAAATGATCTTGTGTGCCAATGATATAATTCCCATAGAATCATAGAATCTCATCAGTTTAAGAACCAATTCTTATTGTGCTGATGTTTTCAAAAACCCTGTAATAGGAGCATTCCCAAATGTCTATAAGGTAGGGTCGTGGAAGAAGCAATCTCATATGCGTATTCGATTATTGATGCAGGTGATTGCTTTGTTCTTAAGATCCAGACTGAAGTCACCTCCTGGAGACTCTAAAGCCCAAGTTAATGGGAAAACGGGTGAAAGTAAGTTTACTCTGAGAATGTTATTAATTTATTGGTTTCCACCCTCTTAATGGTGTTGCTGTAACTCTCTGCTTTCTCTGGTTTAGGACCAGAATATGATTATGTAAGAGTTCTAAATCGTGCTCTCCCTGATGACATCCGAGTTATTGGATGGTCTCCTGCTCCTGTTGACTTTCATGCAAGGTTTGTGTGTTACCCTTTTTTTTAAAAAATCCTTTGTAATTGTTTGTGCTATTCCTCCCTTAAAACTGCAGAATACTTCGTGAACTATTATTGGATGGTGCATGCTTACCTTTTTTTTGTTTCCTTGGGTACAGGTTTAGTTGCTATGCTAGAGAATACAAATACTTTTTCTGGAGACAGAACCTGAATCTTTCGGTGCAGTGATCTCTACACTTGTTACTAAAGTCAAAACACTTCAAAATTGAAACAATGTAGATACTAATATTTACTCGCATCTTCCTCTAGGCCATGGACATTGCCGGGAAGAAGTTCATTGGGGAGCATGATTTCAGGAACTTCTGCAAGATGGACGTGGCAAATGTGCATTGCTATACACGACGTGTTACTTTCTTTGAAGTCTCTCCTTGTCAAAATAGGTTGGCTTTGGTAAAAAAGCACATTTAAGCAGATCTTCTGATCCTCCATTTGATGACTGCTGACTGCATTAGTATTCGTTAAAACTGATTTTGGTTGCTAGAAAGGCTATGATCAATTAAGATTCTTAATTAAAACCGTAGGTTTTTTCAGCAACTAAGGGTAGACTTAAAGAATTGGAAAAATTTAAGGGTAGAGAAAATCATGTTCTAGAAATCACAGGAACAATAGAAAATTTGCATCCTCTTGAGCACGCATTGTTAAACTCACACCAGTCACTACTTTATATACACATTCTTCTGATCATCTACTTTTTATCTTTGTCTTTTGGTCCTAAACCATGTCCTTGTTTATCTTCTTGTATAGTCACGAGGGTGATCAGCTTTGCACATTTACAATGAGAGGCAGTGCTTTCCTGTGGCACCAGATCCGCTGCATGGTCGCCGTGCTATTCATGATTGGGCAGGGCGTTGAATCGGTTGATGTAAGTTACTTGGAGACCTTCATGGTTGCTCCAATTTACTTTTACAGCTTACTTGGGGATTTATATATTCTTCATGTGTTGATTATGCGGTGAACTGGATGGTACTTATGCAGGTGATAGATACATTGTTGGACACGAAGAAAACGCCAAGAAAACCTCAATACCTCTTGGCCTCAGAGATACCCTTAGTCCTCCGTACATGTGAATTCGAAAATGTTGACTTCATATGTTCTCCA